TGCGTTTTTTTAAAATATTTTATTGATTTTTTTACAGAGAGAGGGAAGGGGAATAGAAAGTTAGAACATCGATGAGAGAGAAACATCGATCAGCTGCCTCCTCACACCCCCTACTGGGGATGTGCCCGCAACCAAAGGTACATGCCCTTGACCGGAATCGAACCTGGGACCTTTCAGTCTGCAGGGCGACGCTCTATCCACTGAGCCAAACCGGTTACGGCAATAAATATTTTTAACAGCCAAAAATCACCCTTTAATATTTCTACTTACAAACCACACTGAACAGTCAACCAGATTCTCTAACACTAACCTGTTCAGCTAACAGTCACTCTATTTATTCATATTTCTATACCACTTGGTTAAAGCAAAAGAGAGTTCTTTGTATCATATATCAGTAATGGATTGTCCATTAATTAGTCCATTAGAGTTTGGTCTTCTGATCCTCTCATAGCTAAGCTACCCACATAACACTGCATTTCACAGTTTGATTAATCTTTTTAAAGATGAGTTCTTCTGGGGCTGGGGCATGGAGAGAAGAGACTTAAGAAGCTACTCTCAGACCTTAGCCACCTGTGGCTGTCCTGACTCATGTACCAGAAAGACATTACTGAGTAAAAATGCCACTGGCTGCCTATGGGGGTTTCTGCCTATGGATGACAAATGTTCTCTTTTCTAATGTATGTGTGTGTGTGTGTGTGTATATATATATAGAAAGCATAAAACATTATATATATATATATATTGAAGGGAGAGGGATAGAGAATAGAGAGAGAGAAATATCAATGATGAGAGAGAATCATTGATCGGCTGCCTCCTGCACACCCCACACTGGGGATTGAACCCACAACCCAGGCATGTGCCTTGACCTGGAATCGAACTGTGACCTCCTGGTTCATAGGTTGATGCTCAACCACTGAGCCCCATCGGCTGGGCTAAAGAGTCAATTTTTAAAGATAGGCTTTATATGTCCATATTCATAATGAACATATGTATGATCATTTATTCAAGCAAATATTTGAACACTTACAATGTGCAGGACGCTGTTCTAGGTCCTACGATAAAGTGATGGGCACCATGCCTGGTCCTTGTTCCCATGGAGTTTACATTTTTTGTGACAAATATCCTATATAATAAAATCATAATATGTAAATTGACTGAACAGCAGAATGACCAGTGGAATGACCAGTTGCTATGATGTGCACTGACCGACTGGGGACAGCTCCTGGGTTGAGCATCGGCCCCCCGCAACCCCCCCCAGAGGGAGGTGACCAGTGGTGGCAATGGGGGGGGGGGGGGGAGCAGGGCCAGCCAGCAGGCGGCGCCAGGCTACCAGCTAAGGTGGGTGCCCACCAGTCACCCCACAGATGGCCCTGATTGCCAGCCAGGCCTAGGGATCCTACGCTGTATATTGGGAACAGTCTCTTAGATTTAAAAATTAAAACCTGGCAAGGCTACTCTAACACTGAAAAAACAGGATGATACAGCAATGACATGCATGGACTCTGGCTTGCACATTTTGTGGTCAGCCCTGATTCTGACACTTATAACTGTGTGACAAAGCCAATTACTTAACTTCTCTCTGCTTCAGTTTTTCCACCCATAAGGTGGGGAAAATGGTACTACTGCCTCAGAAGGATCATGTTATGTACTACTTTTTATAATCAGGGCAAAAAAATTGTAGCTGCCCATACAACAGCAAGATGCCTTTCACCTGTATGAGAAGTATGGTCACTGGTGCATGCAGCGTCCCAGATTGTGAGAGGGATGTCTGACTGTCGGTTTAGGCCTGACATCCCTGGAGGGGTCCCGGATTGTGAAAGGATGCAGGCCGGGCTGAGGGACACCCATGCACCAGACCTCTAGTGTTCTCAATAAAGAGGGAAATGTTATGTATATTATTTTTTCATTGTTGTTAATCCTCACCCGAGGACATTTTTAAAAAAAATATTTTTTATCGATTTCAAAGAGGAAGATGGAGAGAGATAGAAACATCAGTAATGAGAGAGAATCATTAATTGGCTGCCTCCTACATGCCCCACACTGGGGATTGAGCCCACAACCCAGGCATGTTCCTGACCTGCAATTGAACCATGACCTCCTGGTTCATAGGTCAATGCTCATCTAATGAGCCACACCAGCCAGGCCCGAGGACATTTTTTCCATTGATTTTTAGAGAGAGTGGAAGTGTGGGTGGGAGGGGAGAAAACGAGAGATGGGGGAGAGAAAGAGAGAGAAATATCATTGTGAGAGAGACACATTGACACATTGATTGATTGTTTGTCTCCTGCACAAGTCCCGACAGGGGTCAGGGATCAAACCTGCAACCCAAGTACATGCCCTTGAATGGGAATCAAACCTGAGACCTTTCAGTGTGCAGGCCGATCCTCTAACCTCTTAGCCACACCAGCCAGGACATTATGTATATTCTTATAACTAAGAAATATTAGTAAGGAATGTAATTTAATGTCCTAATTTTCTTCACCTCTGCTCCTTGTCCTTCCCTGAGCAAATAATCTCCTTTCTGCCTAATTCCCTCTAACACAGCAGTAGACATTTGAGGCAGAAACAAATTAAATATTCTTCAAGATGCTGTTAGAAACCCAAAATTTTGCAGAAGTCCTTAAAACTTAAAAAAAAAATCCCATCCAATAGTAATTGCTATAAACTTTATAAGTTGTTTTAGGGTTTTTTGTTTGTTTATTTAAAGTCAGAGAAATGGCTGCTTGGAAAATTGGCTTCCAATAAATGTCTTTCATCAAGAAATTCACTCCTATCATCCTGCTGTCTTGCACTGGCTACCCACTGGGCACCCCCTGCCAGATGGTTTACACCATCCTCTGCTGAAGCTGAGAGACTTGCGACCTTGTGTTGAAATGGAGGAGAGAACCCTGAAGGCTGCCCGGGGTCAGTCTGGAAGTAGAGGAGAGCCTCCAGTGTGGGACTTGGTAAGACAGACATCACCGAGCCTGCTCCTGTGTGTCAGTGCCTTACCTGGCTTCAGTGAAACAGCTCTCCTCCTTCCAGGTGAACAGGATGAGTCCAGAGCATCTTGTAGCTGGAAAGGAAGGGAGTGCTAAACAAACAAACAAACAAACAAACCCCCACAATGACAGAGGTCATGTCAAAAGGACACAGAAGTTATATGAAAGAGCCCCCAATGGCCAAAGCTGGAACAAGTTAAGAAAAAAATAGTATTGGATTATAAACCAAGATATTAAAAAAAATCCATGAGTCCATCCTGATATAAATACATGATTAAACAAATGAGGGAGAATAGAAAAATATTCTATATAGAATAATTCCAAATAATTGATGTGGAATACCTCACCTTCAAAGGGATGGAGCATAATTCCCCACTTAATGCCGGTGGTCTTGATCCAGCATCTAGAAGGGTTCAGGAATCTGGAGAAGGCGCTGTGTATAAATTAATAAAGAGTCCAGAGACAAAACAATTTTGAAAGGCATTTTGGGGAGTCAGAGAAGACTTAGCTAAAGGAACTAAGTTCTCCTTGTCTCAGGACCCCTTGCTATTTATTAACACAAATTGTCCTAAGGCAAAGTAGATATACATCAAAGGCCAGGGTTTAGTATACAGAATCCATTGTCAAATTGGAAGAATTGCCTACGGCTGTTCAGGTGTTTGGCCAGTAGGAGGCAATAACATGTAGATTAAGATGCCCTCAGCTGTCTGGCAGCAAGCAATCATTTTATGCTTCCTTTTCAGGTTTGGGGAAATGCCCTCAGCCATCTCCAGATGATTCAGCCCTGCTGACATGCTGGAATTGGCTTCCGGCACCCACTCCTTACGTTGGGCTGTGCATAGCGACTTCCTTCCAGAGTACTGTATGGAAAGGGAAAAAAGAGTAACTTTATAGTAGTAGAAAATCTGACAAACACTACCTCAGCCTGGTGATCAAGGTCAACATCAACAGTGATAAGTCATACTGATAGTATGTACCCTTTTTTAAAAATATTTTTTATTGATTTCTTTACAGAGAGGAAGGGAGAGAGATAGAGAGTTAGAAACATCAATGAGAGAGAAACATCGATCAGCTGCCTCCTGCACACTCCCCACTGGGGATGTGCCCGCAACCAAGGTACATGCCCTTGACTGGAATCGAACCTGGGACCTTTCAGTCCGCAGGCTGACGCTCTATACACCAAGTCAAACCGGCTAGGGCAGTATGTACCCTTGATATCATGTGATGAAAATGGCACTTCACCCCTGTGCTTTTCCTCCCCACAAAACCAGAATCCCAACCTAAGCAAGAGTAAAACAACAGATGAATTCTAGTTGAGAACCATTCTACAAAAGAGTACTCCTCAAAACTGTGAAGGTCATCAAAACAAGGAAAACCTGAGAGGCTCACAGTGTAGAGGACCCTAAAGAGGCTTACCTGAAAACCGCATGTACTGTGGTATCCTGAGTGGAATCCTGGGAAAGAAAAAGGACAGTAGGTAAAAACTGAGGCAGTCAGAATAAAATAAGAACTTTAACAATAATGTATCAATTAATTATAACAAACGTACCACACATCACATTATTAAGACGTTAATAACAGGAACCTGGGTGCAGAACATAGGTGAATTCTGTACTATTTTCTCAATTATTTTGTAAATCTAAAACTGCTCTAAAAAATAAAGTCTATTTAAAGTACAAAATAAATATTCTATCTTCCTGGTTCCCATCTTTGTCAGCAGGATCCCATACACAAAAGAATAATAGAGCAGAGCCTTTCACTAGAAGGGCAAACATGTCCCTGTCTATGTGTCTAAAACCTTGTTATATCCTGCATCCACATATATTTGACGGCATCTTCTTATATTGGATTTTAATCATATTAGTGCATTGAACCAAATTTAGCAAGATGAAATTTAATGGGATAAGTGTCCCATCCAAAGAACTCTGGGATTTAGCTGACACTGGGATTCAACAGTGTAATAGGATTACTCTCAGACAGCAGCTCAGGAAGCAGACAGGAGCATGGCTAGACAAGAGGTGGCCATGGTCACAGGCCTTCCCAGTGAACTGCTATTGTCTTGATCGTTCTCCCTGATCAGCCAGTCCTTGGTTTAGTCACCTCTAGGCCCAATATGATGTTGGCTTCATGCCCATTTTGTGTGTGGGTGTTTACCTCAACCTCGTTCCCAGGCTGACAGCCTTTGCTGGCAAAAAAAGCCAAATAACTGTAGAGGACAGTAACAGGATTATATGTGAAGAGAGTAGCTAGCATGTATTGAGTGATTACTCTATGCCAGGCATTATGCTAAATGTTTTTCGTATATGATCCTGTTTTATTCTCTGTCAAAAGATGCGGCCGCCGCTGAATGCCTGGAACAAGAAGCTGGAAGCATTGCTATGTGAGGGAAGGCTGTGCTTATAAGCAGCAGCGTCTCTGAGCAGAGCAAAGAGCTGCACTGACATAGGGTTTAGGCGAGCATGGAGTTCAGGGACTGCTGCTTTTTCAGATGTAGAGGTATTGGGGATGCGTTGGTTGGTATTTAGCTCTGGAAACATAGTGATTTGAGTAAGACAGTTGTTGATAGGCTGCCCTTTAGAAGTATAGTGAGGCTACTGCTAATCAACTGTTTTTAAACATGAGCCGCCACTGGTTGGCTTACTGGTTACTGTGGCAGGGTGTCATTGATCAATCCACATGGGTTTAAACCTGATTCTGATGATTACTTGTTGCACAAGCCAAAGAAGTGGTTCTTTTCTTGGAGTGGAGTATCTTTTTATTATCATGTCCTGAAACCCTATAATGTAATTACTATTATTATTATCCTCACATAGAGATTTAAAGAAACAGATTGAATTAAGTAACTGGTTTAAGTCACAAATTAGTAACATGGGACTTAAATGTGGCTCTCTCTCTCTATATAAGTCTTTTTCTTAAGCCCTAAATTATACGGGGATAGGATAAGATGGGAATAATATTGCCCCACCTTGTACTTATCATACCTTGGGTATAGGTGAGGTATTAGTAATCTAGAACATATTCAGAAAACAATAAGGAGGTTAAAAAAAAGAAAAAAATAGTTGCTTTATGTTTTAGTTAGGGTTTGCCAGAGGAAGAGATACATAGGTAAGTATCTAGATGAAGAGATGAAGATATATAGAGATAGAGATAGAGATAGAGATAGAGATAGAGATAGAGACAGAGATAGAGAGATATAGAAATATGACAGAGACAGAGAGAGATTTAAGGAATTGGCTCATACAATTGTGGGGCCTATCAAGTTAGAAATCTGTAGGGAAGGCCCATAGGCTGGAAATTCTGGCGAAAGTTGATTTGCAGTCTTGAGTCCAAATTCTGCAGGGGGGGGGGGGAGAGCGGGGCGGGCAGGCTGAAAACTCAGACAGCATTTCTTTGTTGGAGTCTTGAGGTAAAATTGTGTTTTCTTTGGGCGAACTGTCTTTCCTCTTAAGGCTTTCAACTGATTGAATGAGGCCCATCCACTTAATGGAAGGATAGAGGGTAATCTGCTGATTTAAATGTTTATTCCTATCTATAAATACCTTCACAAACTTCTAGAATAATGCTTGACCAAACAACTATAATGCTTGACCTATCCATGTGACCTTATAAAATTAACCATTATACTTAATAAAGATGAATTAAAGGGATCAGGGATATTTAGCTAGAAGGAAAGACACAGATGGTTCATGATAAAGTCTACAAATATTTGCAGTAACCTTGTACAGAGATGGGGTTAAGTAGTATAGTGTAAGTTTAGGGACATGGTCTTCAGACAAAACTGAAAATAGTGAACATGAGAATGGATTTTACAGAACTCACATAGCTATTTAGTGAGAGTGGGGGTTTGAACTCAGAGATTTTGTGCTCTGTGAAGATCAGGTAAGCAGTTCCTTTTGAGATGGTTTAAAGGCTGTATTTCTTCTCCTCAGAGTACCTGAAATGCCTCCTTCTTATTCAGGGGTTCTAAATAACTTGAAAGACTTGCATGGGAACATGGGAGATATGTGCTTTACAATCTGAGATAATTAGGAATGAAGGTGAACCAGAAAACAGCTTGTTAAGAAATTTCCTTAAAATCAACCCATGAAGCCTTGACCTGTTTGGCTCAGTGGATAGAGTGTCGTCCTGTGGACTGAAGGGTCCTGGGTTCTATTCCAGTCAAGGGCATGTACCTTGGTTGCGGGCACATCCCCGGTGGGGGGTGTGCAGGAGGCAGCTGATCAATGTTCCTCTCTCATCGATGTTTCTAACTCTCTATCCCTCTCCCTTCCTCTCTGTAAAAAATCAATAATATATATATTTTTTAAAAAGAATCAACCCATTAAGGTGCAAAGGAGAAGACTGGGGAAAATAACGCATCCAGTTAAGCAAAAGCATTTTGTTATCATAGAACCTTTTCCCTGGACCTTGGAATTCTTGAATCAAGCTAAGCCCTCTCAAAATGGGACTAGTACATCCAGGAGGAAGATACAAGGTGACACTCCAACACTTCAAATACCTACTTCCATCACACATCTCTTGTTTTGTATTCTTTCAGAATTTATTCAGGACAAAAGTTAAAAGTCAGGCTTACAAACTGCCTATCCATAAGCACACAGCTTAGAATACTGACTTAGTTTATTTTGACAAATTTTAACTAGCACAATTTAATATTAGACAAGTTTATTCATTTAAAAATAAAATGTATTTTGTATGGAGAAGAACAGAGAACTAATAACATGCCAAGCTAATATATGTATGATTTTTTGTTTACCGTAGTAATCTGTAATTTTTACTCTGCTATCAGCTATTTGGTAGGTAATGACATTCTTCTACACTTTGCACTGCTGGTGGAAAATATTGAAGATATACCCATGATTGTCAGCTATGGCCAGGAGACCCGGGAGATTCAGTTCTCTGATGAGGACAAGTTGCCTTGAGTCTGTGAAATGTTATACCAGGCATTTGCTAAATTTGAAGGGAGTAGCAAGTGGTGACAGAATAACAAATGTTTATCAGTGACCTGTAGCAGTTGTGCAAATGCCAGGAAAATAATTTCCAGGTGATTTCACAGGTATTTGTAATAGATCATAAATCAAAATGGTTGCTGGCTTCTATCATCATGTATTCCACCTTGAATTTCTAGAGTATCCCCTGGACTGTAAATATAAAAGTTGTTCTCAAAAATATAATTATGTCTACTTTAAATGATCCAGCAAAGAATAGACAGATCTAATTCGAACTCCCACAATTACCTCTTACTCTCTGAATGTTCCCTGAGGTAAATTCTTAAGTAGAAATCAATTTTAAATTGTAGAAATGGAGCCCTACCTGGTTTGGCTCAGTGGATAGAACGTTGGCCTACAGAATGAAGGGTCCCAGTTCGAGTCTGGTCAAGGGCACATGGCTAGGTTACAAGCTTGATCCCCAGTAGGGGGCGTGCAGGAGGCAGCCGATCAATAATTCTCTCTCATCATTGATGTTTCTATCTCTCTCTCTTTCTCTCCCTTCTCTCTGAAATCAAGAAAATATGTATTTTTTTTAAATGCAGAGATGGAGTAAGGGATGAATTCTCCATTTTTATTAAACATTTGCTCTGGTAGGCTACCCCACTACACTGTAGGATTCAATAGACCACAGAAATGCTTGTGACGTGTTTTCTAAAAGTCTCACCCACAGCTTTTTTGGTCCCTAAATAATTCTGGCACCATAACCCATTAGTGTCTACTCTCTATACTCACTCAATTGGCTGTGGACTCATAGACACTTCATTCCAGGTAGTACAGAAACTCCCCAGAAGATATATGTATCAGTCAGAGTTCTCCAGAGATACAGACTAAACAGGACATACACACACACACAGATACTATAACATGTATGTGTGTGCATATATGTATGTATTTGTGTTTATTTATGTATAGTATATATATAAACACAATATATAAGATTTATTTTAAGGAATTGCCTCTGATAGTTGTAGGGACTGGTAAGTCTGCAATCTGCAGAGCAGGCTGGCAGAGTGGCAATTCAGCAGGATTTGATGCTGCAATCTTGAGGCAAAATTATTTTTTCCCTGAGAAACCTCAGTTTTTCCTCTTAAGACCTTCAACTGATTAGAGGAGACCCACCCACAGTATGGAGGGTAAGCTCCTTTACTTAAAGCCAATGGGTTGTAAATGCTAATCACATCTACAAACTATTGTCATAGCACATCTAGGTTAGTGTTTGACCAAACAACTGGGCGTCAGATTTAAACCCTCAGGTTCATTGGCTGAGGGCCCCCCAACATCTACCCTTACTGCACCGACTGCCTGGAATGCCTTTCCCTGAGATATTACATGGCTAGATCTTCTGGTCATTTAGGTATCAGCTCAAATGTCATCCTCACAGGCGCTTTCCCTGGCCACTTATCTATGCTTGCTCAGCAACCCTTTCCACCCCATTTTCTCTTTCACAGTTCTCTGTTTTATTTTTG